GTGTTGTGGTGCGTTATCGTTGGCATTTCTAATGAAATAATTATAAGCATCGTCATTGCCAGCAATATTATTTATTACAAGAACAGCTTTCAATGGCTTAGCCATAATCATCAGTCTAGTACAAGAAGAAAAAAACAAAACATTAAAATGTGAATATTCTTTTGTTTTTACAACAAAATTATAATAAAGTTGCTAATAATTTACAATTTTTTGGAAAATATATTTAACATTCCAGGAACTGGAAGAAAGAAAAAAGTGGGGGTGGGGGGAGTCATTTAATACTAAAGGAAGGACCTTTCCTTTTTTTTCTTCTTGCCATGGCCTGGTAATAAGAAAGTAAATATATCTTATGTAGTAAATTCTTCCTATTACACTGTAATTCTTTTGGTGGGCCCTTGATACTGAAAAATTGTATTGTCCATATGTCACTGGATTGTCTGTCTGTGAACAATGCAGACAAATGCACCTCTCAGGGTATTTACTACTAGGCTAAAAGCAATTATTACAATAAAAATTTAAGTAAATTAAACGAGCATTCTAAAACAAATGGGTTGTTGCAAAATTTATAATTTTCGAAGCATTAATTATAAAGAGAAAATCCAAACCTCCCAGCAAGAAGATGCAGTTTCATTATATTATAATATAATTTAACAACATAAACCTTGTTAATCACACGTTATTTCTGAAAGTGATTGTAGTATAATGAAAATGACAAGAATAATCAAAGTTGTCTCGTAGATAAATACTCAATATGTTTCATATCATCAAAGTCAGCAAACTTCGTACTCTGTTAGTTCAAATCCAAAACGATGAAGAAGTTACTTTGAACTCATTAGTAGTGTAAAAATATTCACCCAATATTTGTAGAAACTAGAAATAAACTTCCAAACTCGGATGATCTTGGGTCATAGACTTCCTCTCCCATTACAATAATAATGCAGCATTCACAGGCCACTAGGCATGCACCACTCCCTCCTTAGGTCCCCCTCTCAGTGCATAAGCACTTCTCACAGTCACTCTACACCCCTCTTTACTCTCGTTTCCTTGACCAATCATTCTTTCTGAATGATATGAACAGTTTCCTACTAGAGTTTTCAACTATGTTGACTTTTTTCTCAATGTTCCTACCTCAGTATTAAAAAACCTGCAATACATGATTAAATACAAAAAATTATATTATTAATTAAATTTTTGCAAGAGTGAAAAAAACATGTTCTGACAAAAAACAGTGAGAAAAGAAGGTACCACAAAAATAGTTTAAAGTTATGAGAAGAGTCGATCACAGAGTCAGGAAATCTTTTGACTGTTATGCCAACTATGACAATATGTGAACAGAGATTCTTTGGTGAATAGTATGGTTCTCATTCATTTCGTATCAGTACTAGATAATTCTTCAGCCAGTTGCTTAAAAAAACACACACCTTTTCCCATTAACATGCTAATAGGTTGGATTGATTTTTTGAAGATTTATGTATGGATCCAGGAAGCAGCAACAATCGTGTTATAAAATAAATCCATTGACCATCAACGAATTTGCTTTTGTGATGTGCTGTTGTTGACCATTTTAACCATGAGGTTAACTCCAATCTTTCTTTTGTTATATGTGAGAACAGATAGAGCCTTTTTTCATGATAACTTGTTTTTGGTCCTAATACATAGAGATAAGCCAAATGAATTGCTCTTTTTTTACCTGTATGGTACAATTGGAAAATTTCCATAGTGTCCAAAAATACTAGAACATCATTCTCAAGCGTTATAACATTGCAGTTCAGATGGTATTTCGCACTTGTTAGCATGCAATGTTCAAGCAAAGTTAGTTTCTTCTCCTTTAGAAATTCAGTCGGCCCTAAAAATTATATCATTTGTAATATCATAACCACCAGTGGATGATTGTACCAATTCCTTTATTGAATTTCATGCCAAATCCTTTTCAACAGGTTTATCTATCTTTTTCCTACAGTATAGTTTGCCATTTAATGGAAATCCATTCTCTGAACACAGCATTCGACAATCTTTATTCCATATTAGCTGGTTTACAGGGCATATGCGACTTGAAAGGAGTGTCCACAAAAAGCAATGAACTGTTCATCAACCATAACATTAACACTATTATTCTACACAATTTTACATATCTTTATAAAAAATGCCAAATATAGCCAATGTAAAAATCTGTTTCAGTTTGACTTCATTCCTCTCTAGTTATTCTCTCAACAAATTGTAGACACTGCATAGATCCTCAAATGTATGAAAGATCAAGTTAGCAGTAAAGTGAGTCTTCTGCCTTCTAAAAATAATTCCCCAAGTGGGTTATCCCAAGACTTTGAATTCCAAGCAAGCATACTATCTCTATTACTATTTCTGCTTCCCTCAATTTGTGTACTCAGTTTGGTTGAGCTTAAGAGCGATTGTAGATTACACAAGATACAATGATGTGTGTCAATTGCACAAGACTAGTCAATAACGAAGTGGAATTATTGCATATAAATTCGAATAAATTCATTTTTATGTAGTTAAAGATTTGTTAATGGTTATCAGACTTGGAGACCCACTTAGTGGAAAGCTTAACTACCCACCGAAAAGTTGAAATACATGAAAAAAAATTTGTGGCATACAGACCATTCTTTGCCATAAGAAAATAAACTTAACAAAAACAGAAAATATGAAAGAACACACCTGTAATGTTAATGGGTAAATATGGGACTGAGAAATACCTCTGAAGTCCACCAAGTGCACTGAAGAGTTACAGATCTAACTTTCAATAATAGATTTCATCTTTTTTTTAAATCCCTATCTTCAATTTTGCAGTTGCAGGAAGATACTGAACATTTTTAACATTTTTCAATTTTTGAAAATTTAGAGATTTCAACAAAAATCAGACGTGAGACATTTTTATTACACTATTCAAGTAAACAAAATAATACATCGATTTGAAATCATTTTTGACAAAAATGTTTAGACTTTAGGTAAAATACCTCCCCCCATCAAAAGATACTTTTCAAAGTCAAAGACCCATGACATCATCCAGATCAATAAGGGAATACCAATTTCAGAAGAAAATCATACCTACGTTTAGCTGCTAGTATTATTCACGGACAAACAGACAAAAGTTTTGACATAAGCCAATTTTTCAATATATAGGACCCACAAAACATGCATTCTGACTATACAAAATATTAGACAATGTAATTTACAACATATCAGTGCAAGAATAATCCCCCTTTTCAGTATCCAGTACCATCGGATGTGAGAAACTAAGAAAAATCAAGCATGCAAAATAAATCTTTGCTACCTTGAATTTTTTAACATGGTTTCTCAAGATCACGCATGAAAAAAGGAGACAGAAGGCAGACTCCAATAAGGAGCAATAAAAGTGGGATCTGTAGTAACGTAGCAACTCCCTATTGGAGTTTTGTCTTCTGCCTCCCTTTTTTCGTGCGTGACCTTGAGATGCCAAGAAAAAAAAAATTGAAGATTTAAAAGAGGACTGATATTATTCTCATGTAGATAAGTGTCATTTCATGATTTTTTTAAAATTACCCACTGACATATACAGTAAAATCTGTTCAAGCACTGTCTGGACTCTCTAAGATAAAAATCTTGCCTCATTCTGAAAACTCCTCCAACGTTAAATGCAACTTAAAACAGCGTAGAATGAAACCTCTCCATTGTGGAAATTGAACTGTTTTTCATGTTGTGCAAGAGAAAAAGCCTATATAAAACAGAATAACCGCATATATAATGCATTCGGTAGAGTGACTGGCAAGACATATTCATAATGGAAAGTATGACAATTTTAAATTCCCTTTTCCTGAGACACGGGATTTCGTTTCGGTAGCAGCACAACTGAGTACAGAGGAGGACTGTCCCGCACATCACTCTGCTTAAAGATTGGCACTGGACCAAAAGCTCAATCTATGCACACAACTTGACAAGACATGTGACATAAGGGGACAGTGTTGCATTTGGTCCCACTTCTCTGTCCAGGTTCGCTGACTGGTGGTTTGAGGAAACTGTCACACTTTTCAATCTCTCCAAGTTCAGAATGGTCACCAGGTAAGGCTCTGGTTGCCTTTTTTCGCACTGACTCAAAAAACTAATGGCTAGAGACGCATGCCCCAAGAAACCCTCAGCTAGAGATATATGTGAAGACATGTTAAATGAAATACGTATACCTATTACAAAGCATCAAAGGTGTCTTAGTTCTACAGCTACAAAAGTTTGCTTTCACATCTAATAATCCTGAACTACTACAGAGGTTTTCAACATGAAACATAATTGAAAACATGTTACTAAGAGCAAAAATTAGATTGGAACCCAGGAATAAATTTTGGAAACTAATATTGTGGTAAGAAAATTGTGATGTTTATTTATTTTATACTTGGAAACTAAGAATATTTCATTAGTAATATTTAATTACAGGGTTTTCCTTTGTAAAAGTGTTAAAATGTACTTGCATTTTAACTATAATAAAGTTATGTTATTTCCTAGTTTCTCTACGGCAATATCAATATCACAAAAGCATCCAAAACAGTTACCAGTAAATAACTTGGAAAAGCTCCTTAAATTAGATTTTTTTTTTGGTTCTGAGCAATTCAAGCTCAAACAATTTTACTGCATATAAGAAAACATTGGTGATGTTTTTCCTCTTTAAAAAGAAAATTACAAGAGACTACGTTGCATAATTGACACAGTTTATTGAAGTATTGCAAGTGGCACAAAGTGCTGGTTTAAACGACTTCCGTAAATTGTACCCTATACTAGACTTCAGCCGAAGCATATACTAAGAATAACCAATTTTCCTCATGACCTGATTGACAAAAAACAATTATTCTCCTCAGGATCAGAATAGATCTAGAATAAGTATGTCCTGGTGCTCATACAGTCAACGAATTGTAACTATTTTCAGACAAGTTGAGTCTAAAAAATTAAATACAATCTTTTTGAAGTTAAAATAACTATATTTCCAATAAAAACAAACAGCTGCTCTGAAAGTGATAGTGATAAAATTTAAAATGTGATTTAATGGAACTAAATGAGTTTAAAAAATCATTACCATGAATTGACAGTTGACTGGATCATCAATGATTTCCATTACATCTTCTTCAGGTTCTGGATCTTCTGGTTCTTGCTTAATTATAACATCCTGGAAACAAAAAGAATGATAAAAAATGCGCAGATCTTACAGACAACTAACATAAAAGCTCAACATTTAGAAGATATTTCCATCGAATTGTCCAAAGCTTGGAAGTTGCCTAGAGTTGAAAAACATAAAAAGAAAATGTTACATTGGAAGAGTGATGGAAATAAAGGAGATCAGACCATGATCAATGGTCTCCTGAAATAATATGAAAATTGGATTTACTACTTATTTCTTCCATCCTTTGGTTGATTTTCAATGTGGTGTATTACTCTATTTTGATTAATGACATCAACAACAAAATGTAAGAGGAACTTATTAGTAGTGCTAAAGTAGTAATTTATAGCTTTAAATACTTCTTTCACAGTCAAAACTAGTAAAAAAAGCACCCATAACAAAATGAAAATTGTGAATGAATTTTTGGAGCAAAATACCTTAAAAATATTTCTATAACATGAGTAATTTACATTGAACAATAGTACTTAATTATAATATGATTATCACTTGGGAGGAATGCAAAACAAAACATTCCTTGCATAGTGAGTGTGGCTGCTGTCTTAGAATAGAGATCATGTATTGCTTCTCAAAACCAGAAGGAGATTCTTACAAGGGAAGGTTTCCCAACATATGAAGGAGAATGTCTTGAACTAATTAAATAAATAATTAAAATAAAAATATTATTCAACTAATAAATACCTTATCTACAAGCAAGGTGTTATCTTTGGCATTATTTTGCCATTCCTTCAATGTAGCTTGAGATACATCACAAATTTGTTTAAATTCATGCCAAGAATTGACATGATACAGGCATTTATCACATATGACCTTTGGCAATCCATCACTCTCTGACACCTAGAAAATAAGGACAAGTTATGTTGTCACCTCACTCAATAAGTAATATTTCAATATTATCTGAAAATTATACCGAAAAATATGTATATTTGTATCACATTACATAACAAACTACAAAGTTACTGAAATTACGAATAAAGTGGGCCAATCTCAAGATCTGATAACGGAATTTCGTGCAAACCATCTCTACAGCACACTGAGGAAGATTTTCCAGTGCCATTCCAAACTAATCCATTGTACAAGTATTCTAAAACAAGCTTTATTGCGTGCAAGCTTCTATGAACATGGAAAACATTCAAACCTCCACGGAGACGCACGCCATAATCCTGAAGGACAGAGGAATTTGAGATTCCGATGACGAATCTTCTTCACCAAATATTGGCGAAGTGATTTCGTCTTCAGCCAAACACAAACGACACACTTCTCCCATGTTGCTTGGTTTTCGGCGTGGGCCATTCATTTCCGACGAAATAATGCCACACTGCCGTAAGTAATTCACTATTGCTCAACACTGATCATCTTCATGGTCGTAACAGTACAACATGAAGCCGCATGAGTTTAGTCTTCCATTTTCACACAATACGGTTATCGAAGTTGTATTTCCCAAGCGTAACGATCGCATATGAATCAAAGAATTGAGTTCACCTCCGAAAACAATGTCTACAATCTTCACTATCAACCAATAACCACAAATTCCACCTTTTTCGCGATGATCGCAAGGCCCAAACTTCGACACCAAAGAGCAGAGTACGAACGGGAGGAACACCAAGACGCCACACCGACCACACCAACGTCGTCCAGACTTCGATAGTCAGAGACGAATCAAATGCAAGAGCTCCATTGCGGACACGATTGGCTCTGCAGGAAGTTGATCTCCTTGGACATGGCAGTTCATTTGTTCGTGACGTAAAGTACAGGGGCAGAGCAGGGCAGGAGACAGTCATCGGCGTCGATTTGAGTAGTTTGAGAATGTACGTGTGGGCTGATGTTGTATTTATTGCATCGTAATTCATGGCAGGGTTAGGGACTATTGAAGCCCTAACTTGCGAGGCATTGCAATGATATAAATAAATGAAATATATACAAACAGAGAGATCGATTTGTAACTTACATTTCTCTAGCTCAGTGACAAAACTTGTTAGTGGTAAATGTGATATATTCTTGCTACATAATATAAATGGGAAAACGTAACCGGTGAAAGGAACCTACAATGTTCGTAATAGGGACCAGTTTGGTTTAAAGTATTAATGTATTCTTGGTTGAGGTTGTTTCGCAATAAACAAATGTACAGTTGTACGAGGTAAGACCAAATTGATGTAGAGCAAACACTCTCAGTACGTTTCTTACAGGAATCATGTATTATTTTACTTTTGTGATTACTTTTCAGTATTATCCAAAGAATTTGGTACCTAGGCTGCTAGAATGGACTATGAATATGCTTTATTTAGAAAAGAAATTGATACTCAGAATAAATGTTGTGGAGGATGGGTATGGTGCATCAAAGTAAGTATTTTGTGACCCATCTGGTCTAATGTTTTGTCAAGAACCATTATAGATGCATTGCTTCTTTACAATTTGGACAAACGTCTGACATTGTCATGTTTGCAGGATATTTGTGGCATAATATGTGCTGTTTTGACATGGCTCCTCATTTTATATGCCGAATTTGTGGTCATGATGGTTATGCTGTTGCCTAACCCTTCATTGTATAGTACTATAAATATAATTATATTTCAAACTTTTGCATTTTTTGCTTTTGCATCACATATAAGAACAATGTTTACAGATCCTGTAAGTACAGATCCCTCCTTAGTTTTAATTTTATCCTATACTACCTGTGGAAATGGAATTTGCATACCAAAATGCTCTTTTGCAGGGCGCTGTTCCTAAAGGAAATGCCACCAAAGAAATGATACAACACATGGGGTTGCGGGAAGGGCAGGTGATATTTAAATGCCCTAAGTGCTGTAGCATAAAACCTGAACGTGCTCATCATTGCTCTGTTTGTCAAAGGTTGTATTAAAATCTACCTTTTTTTAAAAAACAGAAAAGTGGTTTCCTTATGAAATTATAGACAATTGCCTGAAGATGCAGTCTTATCTGACCATAAAATTCGTATGTATAAAATGAATAAATTTTTTGTGTACCTCTTGAGAAACTGTAAATGAATTGGCATTGATTGCCTAAAATTTCATCTCCAAATCTCTTATCAGTTTTCAATTAATATCATCACATTGAAGAATCTTATATTTTTCATCTCATCATTCATATCATCACATATCATACTTCGAATGATGAAAAATAATCATTCCATTCTGAGTTTTTTAGAAACTGATATTAGCTGTATGTTGTTTTGAAGTTATTCAGATTTGACTTTCAGATTAATGAAAATTATTTTCTCCAGGTGTATTAGAAAGATGGATCATCATTGCCCATGGGTGAACAATTGTGTTGGGGAAAATAATCAAAAGTACTTCGTTCTTTTCACGGTAAGCAATATTAACTTGAAACAGATCTTACTTATTGGCATTAAATGCTGTTGTAATTGCTTTTGATGTTTTGCATTAATATTAATTAAAACAAAATTCTATCTTCAAACATGTTTGTTTCAGTTCTACATTGCAGCCATATCTATTCATTCACTCATTCTCTCAGTCAATCAGTTCATTGCGTGTGTGAGAAATGAATGGAAAGAATGTTCTACATTTTCACCACCTGCTACTGTAGTGCTTTTGCTGTTCTTGGTTTTTGAAGCCATGTTGTTTGCAACATTTACTGCAGTAATGCTTGGAACTCAATTACAAGCTATCTGGAATGATGAGACGGTGAGAATTGAAAGAAGATTTTGTCAAAACTTAACTAAACTTCACTTGTAAACTCTACATAACTATACTCCACTATTAACTTTCCATGTTGAAATCTCAAATATCAGTGTCCATTGATATTAAAATCATGTTTTATATTTTATATAAATTATTCAGTGAGGAAATAGTATTTATTTAATAAAATGGGAATTAGTGATTAAATGTATGCAAGTAGCATTTAGAAGAAAAAATACTTGTCATAAAACATGTTTAGAAAACATAGGCTTCTGTGGCTTTATTCAATAGATATTGTAATTTGGCTTGTTACAAAAAATCCATTGTGTCAAAATAGTTGATGTTCAGTTGCTGGCCACTGTTTCCTGAAAGCATAACTGAATATAATTTTCAGTTTTATTTCAGCAGACAGTTTAACTCTGTCCAGTTTAATTTCATAAGGGCTGGTTTCACCAACAGCCAAGTAAAGTTAAGTGTAGTTACCCAAGAGTAAGCATTATTGCGATAGTTACACTCGAGTAAAATATAAGCGTTCACTATTCTTCTGGAGGGTTATTTTACTCTAGAGTACATACTCCCAGATTTACTCTGCAAACCAGCTCAATGCACAATTTTTCATACAAAGCGGAGAGCAATTCAAGAGGCTACAAGCAAGTGCAACCCATTGAACCAATGACGACCAACACAAACCTCCTGTTATTTCCTTATATTCCATCCATGGTGGAAGTAACATTGTTGTACAAAAATGTTATTTCCACCATGAATCCATCATTCATTTCAGTTTTGGAGTTGACAGCTTCTTGGAGTTATAATCTTGTGTGGTGTTTTGGTGATTTGAGTTTGCATAGTTAATTTCTTAGCTTTTGTATCTTTATTTCTTAATACTTTTAGTCCTTGTATTTATTATTTTTTCTTTTGTTATCACATACCTACTATTTTTATTTCATATCCACGTGTATGAAAAGGAAATTTAAAAGTCTTCCACAGTTTATAATATACCTGATGAAGTTCACATATAAGTACTTCCCTAATAAAGTATGTTGTTCTGTTTAAATGATTTTTAATAGACATGTCCTATTTTAATCGGGACTGTGAATTGATTGTCTATAATCTTAAGATACCTACAATTCAGAAAATAGTTTATGAAATGATTCTACTACTAGTATTTGTTTTTACATTTCATAGTATGCAAATTGTTTCCAAATTGGCTTGAATTCCTCCAAATACACTCTTAGCTCCCATCAGATCATATAAAACTTTTGTCTTTAGAACAGCTAATTTTGTCAACATAACCTCTGACAAAATCTCAATCGTTATAATTGGAAAACAATCTCTCTGCACCCATCTTTGTCTTCACACTAGAGGATAATATTCCGAATCATCGCTGGAATTATCTTTAAATACCATCATTTATAAGTGTGCTCAAGCCGTAACAACATTTCAGAGGTAGATGCACATTGAAAACTAAGTTAACTCTACTTTCCCAATGGATTTTCGCTGTGTAAAGTTACTGTCGAATTTGCGATTTACACCTGAGTAAAGTGTTGGTGAAACACTCTAAGAAGTTACTCTTGGGTAAATATGATTTACTCTTTGTTTCGTGAAACCCGCCCTAAGTGTTTCTTTGTAGAAATGCAGCGCAGATCACAGTGCATGGGAAATGTTTACCATTGTCAACTTGTTTGATATACTTGCGAGGGCAATAGGTCATGCCTTTGGTTATCTGTACCTCCTGTGTCCTACACTATTGGCCCTGGAATATGAGATTCTGCTTTTTCAGACCCTTTTCAGTTGGGAATGTATTTAGAGAATGTCTCCATAACTTGCTGCAGCAGTTATGAATGGAGATGGGTAAAACAAATTTTGGGGGTCCCTATGTTGTAATAGAAGTGCTGGTGCTTGTGTATCAGAGTGGATTCCATCCCACAGTGTGTTTCATTGTGTTAGTTGTGACTTCAGATTGACTTGTGATGACGATTATCAAATTAAATATTTTCTAAGTCATTGCTTATCCCAATTTTCAGTCAAGGAAATTTATGGCACTCTAGAAGAATACACAGGCTAATTTAAATGTGACATGTTAAAGGTTAATGTTAATTGTAATCTTTCTACAGAAGCTAAATTCTTGAATGTTTTGTAAAAATTTGAGATGGTTGCGATTCTCATACATTCTACTATATCTTTTATTATGATTCTGCTGTCAAGTCTATTTCACATGGGTAAAATTAGAATATTCCTCTTGAATTTTTGTCTTATCTATTGCTGTAAAAAAAAAGCCCATCATTAGCAATTGCACTTGGGTTCAGAATCTATGCTAGCATAGTTCTACACTGTGTTCAAAAGAGAGTTTTAGAAGAAATTCACCCAGTGTTCATGTTACTTCAAATTTATTATATTACTTACAGGTAAGGCCTTAGATCAAAAGTAAACTTATTGTGAATAGAGAATTATAGTTGTATTGATAGCACTCTTAATTATCTCATAAAAAGTGTTCCAGCTGAACAGAGTACAACATTCTGAAAGCTCATTCCATCAATTTTTGTGGACGCAATCAGATTCTTATTATCTTCAATGGTTCAAATGATATTTGAATGGAATATCTGGAACTCGCCCAACTACACTAGTTGAATTGTCCTACTTTTGTTGAAGGACATACTTCTTATTTCAAGATCTCTCATTTATTAATTCTTTTAGAATGTAGAAAATTGAGATGAAATGTACATTTTGAAATTTGTCTTAGAAGTTTTCACGTCAAGACTCCTGCAATAGAAGTTAGAATTACGACAACACTTTCACCCCACCCCACCCCATTTTTTTTTCTAAGCCATTCATGCTGCTTATCTTCTCAGAAAACATCCCTTCCATAGATTTCTGCTCAGCATAAATTCTAGATCTTCACTCTTGTTTCATAGTAGTCTAATTTTAGTTTTTAAAATTATTTTTCGGTCAATGAATTCGTGAACTAATAATCAAATCTGATACCCAAGTGTAACATTTCTATTATATTATTACTTATCACTGTGGTATAAAGGTTCATAGTATATTGTAACAAAAAATAATGTAGAAGCAATAATTTGTTCTTATGTAAATTCTAGGGTCTTGTTTGCACTACATTTTCTTCCATGTGTTGCAGGGTATTGAACAATTGAAAAAAGAAGAAGCTCGTTGGGTTAAAAAGTCTCGGTGGAAGAGCATACAAGCAGTATTTGGCCGATTTTCATTGGCTTGGTTTTCGCCATTTACTAGACCACCTTCAAAGACAAAACTGGAGAGTTACTTATATTCTGTGTGATGGGAATCTAGTTGAAACAAAGTTTGTATGAATTTAAAAGCTTTTAATGTAAAATATTGATGTGCTGTTACTAAATAATGTATTTCCTTTTTAATAAAGTAAGTGTTTTGTTAAGAGAGATTCACTTCATATATTTTTTAAAGTGTATTTGTAATGAAGTTTAATTTCACCTCAGTCATTATTTTGTAGTTTATTTTATATTGGTTCAGTTGTTAAACACTGAAGACTAAGACAATCCTAGTAGCTTTCTACTTTAATTGACTATTGGTCCTCTTGGTTATGTAATTTTAGTCCAATAAATTATATGAATTTTAATTTAAAATGTGCTTTACTATGGCTATGTCTTTTTGACAACAGTGCAATGTAATAGACTTGCGTAAGGAAAGGATTTTCTATGAATGACTGCAGTATGTACAGTGATATTTCCAAGATAAATAAACATTGAAGTGTTTTGATGAAATTAATTTTTCATTTTTTATAAAATGTTTGTAACAAACTACCTTGCTTGCTAGCATTTGTAAAATAAAATTAAATTATAGGAAATATACCAATAATTGTGAATTGGTTAAAAGTGTGCTTATCAACTTTCCAAAAAAAAAAAAAATTAATAAAGAGATCTAGCTTACAAAACTGTAAAACTTTCCTGCATTTTCTTTAGATGAAGAGATTAAAAGAAAACTGAAAAACGCCTTTTTTTCCATATTTCCATATTTCAGGTATATGGAAAACTCAGTAAAACAGAAATGTGTATGTTTTTAGAGATAAAATTATGTATTCATTCATGCAATATAAGTCACAAAAATTTGAATTTTTTCATTATTGAAAAGGAAAAATAATAATTGTCACAATCTGTAGATATCATTGAAAACAGAATAATAACTCTCATAACATACTGAATATCCAACATTCATTGTATAAATTCATAAATACAGTATTCAATACTTTAAGGTTAGATATTGTTTATAATATTGAAATTCCATTTATTTTGTTTGTAAATGCATCTTTTACCAACAGTGTGATTTTTATTCAGCAGGAAATAACCTAACACATCCTTCCAAATACAAATAATTAGTGATAGAAAAGTAGTGACTAAACACCTGTGTGCTAGTCTTTAATTGTCTTGAAAATACAAATTTATTGGAAAGTCATTGGGATATGAAATAGTTTTATCCCCTTGGTATAAAGTCCTATTGCAAGATCATACATTTGTTCTGAATTTTAAATTCGAATTCTACAGTGGGGAAAAGTAGTGTCAAAAAAAAACAACATTTTACTCAAAATTGTAAGAATTTTATGACTTGAATTTGGTCATCCAGAAAATCCAACTTGATTTCAGTTGGGCTACAAAGGTAACACAATGGTAATATTAGTATCTTACTCACATTTGAGAAATAAAATATCATCTTAAGTAACAAATATTGATGTATTACTAATTCAAAGGGGATATATAGAATATAAAGAAGTTGTGATCCTCAATAATAATTTAACTTGACCAAATTTCATACTGGTGCTTATAGTTATTGCAGCAGTTATCAGCTTTTGCAAAGAACACCAAAAGGTGATTTGGAATTGTAAATATACTTTCAAATTGTTCTAGTGCAAATATATTTGTACTTTCAGAAACAGATTTTGTTACTATTTCTTCCGGGCACTCTTGGCACCCTGTTTCCCTACTCACTCACACCCCTAGTAATTAAAGGACTCGATATGTGTTTGCCTTGTGTCTTATTGATGGTTCAAAATTGGTTTGCTACTGAATCTCTACTTGCACGACTTCTTTTTCCTAGAAGTACAGTACAAATATCTACATCTCATATTCTGAACTCCATGTGCTTGCTTCTTTTCTATATGTAGGGTTCCTTATTTTTAAAATGAAAAACTGGAACGCTACACATAATGATGATTGAGTGACGGTCGCACATGAAAGAAAATACCATTATTCAGAACACCTTTTTCACTACCGCTCCTCCGGAGAGCATAAGACTTCAATGAGAGACTTCCATCTAATTTGATTAGCCACTATTTCTTTAATTTTCCTCTACGATTTTCCAGTCTTCTCCATCTCCATATAGACCACCCTCCACATGCCCGTTGGTCATCTACAACTTGTCTCAGTGGGTTTCAATCTAAAATTTGCCTTTCTATTGCTTCTGTAGGTTTTTTCAGTGTGTGTCGTATCCATTGCCATTTCGCCTCTCTAATCTGACGTTTTATAGGCTGAGGCTTTCTCCCACAGTACTTCATTTCTCATTTTCATAATACTTTTATGGACACACTCTTTCAGTGTGTTTAAAAACCATTAATTATGATTGAAATGAACTGACAATTTTGAAAGTAAGACTGTTAAAGATACTTTCTAAAAAAAATTAGAAACTAAAGACTGCATGGTAGAAAGTACATTCCACTTTGTCTTAGTAGTTTCTTTCATAAATGGGAACTGTATGGGTTAATTTTCACTGACAACATTTTTTTCTCAGGCATTTTTTTTTCTTTTTTTAATTAAAAAACAATTCTATTGAACTGTCAGCAATTATTTTGATTATGAACACTGTAACATCACTAAACATGTGAACAAGGAATGACATAAATGAACAAACACATCTTTCAAATGAATTGTCAGGTTGACCGAAAGCTCATCAGAATTCACAGATTCAAAATAACCGTACATATTATCAGAAAAAATTGAACTTTTTCGTAAAAACCTCAGACATTTTAGCACCCTGAAATGATTTGTTTGGACATTTGAACAAATATAAAAAATCTTGGTCTGTCCAGGGAAAAACAGTACAAATGGAATATATGGAACATGGAATCCCTACTATATGAAGCTTTTTCAAAGTATTAACCTCCAAAAATATTTAATAAAAATATTATTCCTAGAGGATAGAAAGTGCAGTTGCTTTGTAGTATGATAGAAATGTATGAATTAGAGAGAAGGGATACTTGAGAAAAAAAGCTACCAGGGGAAAGCATTGTTTTCTTAGTTAATAATTGATTTGCCTTATGCAAATTGTTTTATAGCATTTTTTATTGGGTAGAAAATCAAAAACATTTTTTTAAATTCACTTCAAAATCGTAATAAAAACTCTAAAAAAATTCTAGTTCCCCTACAATAGCACATATTTTTTCATGTTATTTGGAATGGTTACATAATAATATTACAAGGGAGTGGAATTTATTGTGAGAAAGAAACAAATATTTACATGTGTATGAGAATGCATAACAAAAAAAGTGAAATTAAAAGTTATGGTTGTGTTTAAAATTGCTCTACACAAGCATTTTCAAACAAAATGACATAAAGTTTCTTGAAAACCATTTTCTGTAAAATAAAAAAACTTAAAATTTCGAATTTTCTCAAACAGCTCTAAATTTTTCGAAAGGGTATTGCTAATTGCACTATAATATGACATAAAGTTAATTTTTGTTTTTTTTTAAAATAACACATTAAAGTTTTTGAAAGATCTCTGATGGTTTAAAGATCTGACTTTTGGAAAAGGTTTTAATTACGACAAAAATCTCTATCTTAAATGCCATACTTTTACAATGTTTACATTTTTCCATTTTCTGAGAAAACGGAACCAGTACCATTTTTTACCGTCCTTTGAAACATACGGGGTGAAAATTGAAAGAAACAAATTGGAGCTGTTTTCTGAGAAATAACTGTTTAAAAATTGCCTAAATTTCAAGCAAAATTACGCGAAAAATACTCATATTTCGAGAAATTGTGCGAGCAATTTTCAAATATTCAGTGACAGTGTTGTTGTATTACACAACAACACTGTCAAGCGACCTTTCAACAGGTACAAATTGAAATCCGATCTCATTTTTTCTGTAGATATATATTTATTTACATGTGCCTTCAAAAAACTTAACTGCCGTCACGCACTGGAAGTTATTATGAAAAATGCCAAAATTCCACACGTTTTCGACGCAAATCGTCGTTTCTGTGGTGTTTGTGCAGCCCTGACTATTGTGAGAGAATGTTCACCTAGGAAACAAGCGCTTCTACGGACAAGAGTTCCAATTCAGGGCAGGGGAACCCAACGCTAATGAAGCTGCCCATGCCCTTGGCAAACCCGCAATGTCGCGCGGCGCAGCTCCTACCTACAACGACATTGGGAAAGAGAATACAAATACGATTTCAAAGTGTGCACGAGCGGTTCAAGTACAGTTAACATTGTATGTTAAACTTTTATTATTTTGGACAGGCACATCAATGCATGATGGTTCAGTTGAATGCGTTTGTAGTACACTGCAGTCATTTTCATCATTATTGATGCTGGTGTCATCTGGTGAATTAGCTCGAAATACACGGGACTATCATTGTTTCGTCCGACAAGTCGGCTCTGTGCACTCTGGAAGTCAAAGATTGGTTAATTTATATTATCACAATAAATGAGATAATCATCGCCATCGGGACCACCTTGAAAGCCGCCTTGTCGAAGACGCCACATTGTCAGAAGGTGATAAGTTCGGTTTCTGCCAAAATGGGAGCATCTTTTAAACTAAATCTACATACAACGCTATAAATTCAAAAAATTAAAATTTAATTGAAATAATCGAACTCCAAAATTTTAAATTTTAATTGGTGTACTGATTAATAGACCGAAATATAATCGATTTAATTGTGTATATTCATCTTATAAAATAATCGATTGTTGTACTAAGTGCGATTAATTGCTCGTAACTAACTGACGATCGGAACACAATGATCCCCGAAATGATCTATTGTTTTCTGCGCAGCGAACTGTCAGACGTAAGTGATAAATAAAGATCCTAGTGAGCAATGGCAGCTCTGCGCGATTCATTCGCTGTAGCAAGGGTTGTCCAATGCGTTTTGGGAGGGGAAAAAAAACCGTGGCCAAAACCGACCAAATTCTTTATTATTTTAGCAACTTCCAGAGCGCGACGGCAGCTACTTTTCCCTGCACATAAGTAGTGAATACCTTTGAAAAAAAATCAGGTCAGATTTGTTAGAAAGGCCCTTGTGAGACATGTGCCATTTTTAAGCGTTTTTTTAAATGTATCTGAGAAAAAACTTGAACAAGGAAACCTGAAGCCATTTGTGAGAAAAAATTGAAAATGTTCTTGAAGTACATGTAAAATACCCGAAAAATTTAAATATTCGTTTCCAATTCAAAGGGCTGCTACATGAGCCAGATCGATCGGAGAATATTAATTTTAGTAAAAATTATCTTGCGAGTTCTCTCTTGTTCATAAGCGAGACGAACGGATTCTTCTCTGTGTCTCCAGCTCTCAAAACGTGGAATATGACCAGAACGTGACGAAGTAAATTACTACACACAGGAACAAAAATTATAAACTTTATCGGTATTACGGATCTCTAATACGAATTTTTCCTGCCGACAAAATCGTACTATATAATTGCACTAATCTCACGTTCCAGTTCTCACCTCCCCCCGTCGACAAGCTCTACATTTAAAGGTCAAATTACCAAAGTTGTTGACGCGCCCGGAAACACGAAATATTCATTCACTCATCCAAGAAACCCATTGCGCGTTTTCTTTGCGGCTTCCCTGTTCCATCTATTCCGCCCGCGGAGCAGAAGAGTACAGCGGGTTGCGTCGAAAATCCTAAGGGGGGCCACATCTCATCAGGTGGGTTTTACTCGTTGTGCGTAAGACATACTACATATGTAGCATTCTG